AAATGTACAAATGTGCTTGACATAATGGATGGACGTATGGATTGTGAAAAGAGTTATATGAGCCCCCAATAAAACTTATTTCAAAAGCAGATAAATTATAAGTACAATAAAGTTTACTTGAACGCACAGAGTAGCTCTGATAAGGGAGCAGCTAAGGAGTAGGCAGACATACAGCACGGGCCCTCCACGTGATCCACGCCCTGGGTCCCAGTCAGGGAGGAGAGGGACAGCGGGAGACGTCATCACCCCCTCAGAACCAGAACCAGTGTGCACTTAACACTTATGCACAGCTTCTCTCTGAAATCTCCCATTTAATATTTCCAGACTATGACTAACCACAGGTAACTGAAACTGTGGAAACTGGAGCCTCCAATAAGGGGGGTTGGTACATGTCAGGCTGCTAAATGCAAGGTGGGCAGTTTGAAACCACCAGCTGCTCAGAGGGTCCACGGCAGGACTTTCTACTCCAGTAAAGAGTTACAGTCTCAGAAATTCATAGAGGTAGGTCTGCCCTGTCCTATTGCTATGAGTCAGCATTAACTCAATGGCAGGGGTTTGGGGTTTGGTTATATACCACATACAATACACAATACACTACGTATACAAGTGTTTGACTGACTGGATATATGCCCTGCCTAACTCGTTGAATTTCCAAGAATTTGTTAAAAAAAAAAAAATTAGGAGACGGCTTTAAAAGTTCATAGCAAAAATGGAATTAAAAGATAATGGAATTTTTCCACAAACTTTTTGAAACCCCATCATATTGCATAAGCCCCATCATCAAAACCAAACATGAAGCGACTGCTTCTTAGCACATCCTCCATGTTGGTCTATATACTTATGAAGGCAGTGTTTCATCTCTGTGACCTTCTGTAAAGACGTCCGTGTTCGAACATCTGGGAAGAACGTGACCTGTGTTTCTTTGAAATGTTCTTTATGTTTGGGCAGCAAAAAGAAGTCTGAATGGGGTAAGGCTTACCAGTGAAATTCTCACAGGACAGTCCTTGCTACACTTGAAGAATTGTTATGATGGGGAAAGCTGCAAGGTTTCATATTCTTAAAATTGCTTCATAAAGTTCCCATGATCATCCTGGGTCCCTGGGGATAGTCTGTCAAGGTAGCCCTTGGGAATCTCCAAACCATCGCTCTAACCTCCCAGGAAGTGTCCCTTAGGTTAGGAAGACACGGTTTGCATTGAACTTCTTCACGTTTTAACTCAGCCTATTGAGACTCAGACAAGGGCATTAGTGAGAGAGCCTGTCCACCCGCGTCCATCCACTGATGACAGAGACATGTGTAAACATGTTTGGAATACATCCCTGGGTGTCGGAAGTAAAAGCCTAGTAGCAATACTTTTTGAATTACCCTCATAGGTACAGATTTAACTTAAAGGCAGGTTTGAGACTGAAACTTGTTCATAATCCAGGTGTAGTATGTATTTTGGCATGTATATGGAATGCATATTGAAAGGTGTGCTTTTTAATACATAAGATTTAACTCCTACGATAAGTGAATTCCACGGGTCAGTGTTGCTCTCCAGGTAAAGTTAGGAAAGCTGAGATATATCTGCCACTCTGTAATCTGTGAAATATGAGCCTTTTGCCACTGTTTTACATTAGATTTTTAAAAGCCAGTCAAACACTGGTGAAATACTAATAGTGCAATCTTTCAGAGGTTGCAGTGTGGTCCAATCATAAGGCATGATCAGACAACCGAAATGCAAAGCTCTGTCCCTTGACTCTCTCGGGGCTGGACTTGCATGTTGCTCAGAGTGACTCATTTGCTGGACACAAGGTTCCGGTTTCTTGTGCATCTCTTTTTCCCAAGTTCTGACCCAGCACACATGAGGAAGATGATCTCATGTGGCTGATTTGAGGCTGTCAAGAGGAATAGAAACATGCTCGTGGCCTGCCAGCGTCCTGGTGCTGAGGGGGTAACTGGGAGGTGCTGTTGAGTCAGCTGTAACCCACAGCAAGCCCATGTGACAGAGTGGAACTCCCCATGAGCTTCCTGGGCTGTCATCTGTATGAGAGCAATTGATCAGGTCTTGGTCTTATAGGAGGAGGAGCCCTGGTGGCATCATGGGGTAGACTGCTAACCCCAAAAGGTCAGCAGTTTGAACCCACCAGCCCTTCTTTGAGAGAATGATGTGGCTGCTGGCCTCTGTAAAGATCTGCAGCCTCAAGACACGCTCAATAGAGGTGCGCCGAGTTGGAATGGACTTGATGGCAGTGGGTTCAAAGGGCACCTTTTCACCGGAAGGCTCAATAACTCCGATTTGGAGTCCTAGTGCCCCCATCATGCGTCACACTGGAACTGTGCTCCAGAGGGTTTTCAATGGTTGGTGATTTTGGTTTTTAAGTAGATCGCCAGGCCCTCTACATTGGGGTGTGTTTGAACGCCCATCTCTTGGGTTCAGTGCTAAGCAGTTAGCTGTTGGCTTGTGCTGTACCTCCGGGGATGGTGCAGCCCATTGCTCACAGCAGGAAGCACTGCCCCCCTGAAGCTACCTATTGTGTCCCCAGCAGCCCTGAGTGAGTTCCTCCTTCATGATAGCCTCCGTGGATGGCCTGGACTGCTCATTTTCTGACTGTTGTTAATTGTTTTTGTTTTAGTAAATGCAGTCATTTTAAAAGAAATCTTTGTATCACTCTTGTGAAAGGGAACACTAGAATCACCTGTCACCAACTGGAAAAATACGCACCATTAAAGCATAACAATGTAATTAATTTCTAGTTAGCTATTAGTGCCTGATAAAGGCGCTGTGCCTGAGGCTGGTCTTTTCTTTAACAGGCAAGATTAGCAAGTGATGGAATTGTGTTAAAGACACACCAGGAGGAAGCCCAGACTTCCCTGCTGTGAGATTTATGACTTAATGCTGGAGCTGTGAGACTCCCAGCTCCCCCCACCCCCGCCCGCCCACCCGCAGCCCGCCGGTGGCACAGTCCCATTCTTTGGGAAACCTCAACAAGGTAGACTCTGGGCTCATCCCCAAGAAACCAGTCCAAACACAAAACCGCGCCCACTGCTATCGAACCTATTAGGATTCCGAGTCACCCTGTGTTTGACAGAGGGTGTCTGTGCTATGTAGGGGCTTCCTTCCTTCACAGATGCCAATTGTCAGGCCATTGTTCCACAGCACGCTGGGTGGAGTCAAACGAGCCACCACCCTTTAAGCTAGCCCGTTGAATGCAAACAATGTGCATCGCCCTCTCCAAATTCACTGTCACCAAGTCAATTCTGACCCATAGCGACCCTGCAGGAGAGGGCCGAACTGTCCCTTTGGGTTTCTGAAATGGGAACTCTTTACAGGAATAGAAGGTCCCATCTTTCTCCTGGGGAGCTGCTGGAGTCTTTGAACTACTGTCCTTGAGGTTAGCAGCCCAAAGGGTACCCCCTATGCCACCCGGAGCCACCCAGGGATCCTAAAATATGCAAGTGTCCTCATGTACGCTTCGTTTGTAACCGTGCCCCACCTGAAATGTTCGTTTCCCAACAGGTAAACGGCAAAGATTTATCCCGAGCCACCCATGACCAAGCAGTGGAGGCTTTCAAGACCGCCAAAGAGCCCATCGTGGTCCAGGTGTTGCGGAGGACACCTCGGACCAAAATGTTCACGCCCCCCTCAGAGCTGCAGCTGGTGGACACGGGGACTCAGACGGACATCACCTTTGAGCACATCATGGCGCTCTCCAAGCTGCCCTCCCCGGCCCCGCCCCTGCTGGATCCCTACCTTCTACCAGAAGAGTAAGTGATGGGGTCATAAATCACAGCCTGGAACAGGTGGGGGGCGGGGACGGGGAACAGGCTTTCTACTCTCATAAAGCGTTACAGCCTCAGTAACCCTGAGTCAGTTCTACCCTGTGCTGTGGGGCCACTATGAGTCAGCATCAACTCAATGGCAGTGAGTGAGGTATGTGGGGTAGTAACAATGGCTAAGTCAGGTTTGTTCTTCTTCATCCCTTCTATGTGGTAAAAATCATCATAATAATGATATGTCTTACAATTTTCCTCCAAGTCGCCGTGTTTAACTTTATTGTTTATAGAGGCAATAAACTGAATCCTGCTCAAAAGTGTTCTGACATATTAATTACTTTATTATAACCCTGGAGCGGAGTTATTCAAATTATATTCTGAAAACAAAATTACTTACAAATGTTGTAAAAGTTGTTTCCAAGTAAAATGTAATCACTGCAAATGGTAATTTGGAGATTCCGCAGGCCCAACGAGAGGGAATGCTGGCTCTTGTTCGCTGCGAGAGGGGAGCAAGCCCTGGAGGTGTGGGTGCTGCCTTCCAGAGTGCCGTTTCCAACGTGGATACCGGTGACAAGCCCGCACCTGTCTCCCCGCAGCACTGCACAGACCAATTAAATAGAGCTACGACTCCACCCTTATTTTCCCTTCTTTACACGTGGCCCTGCCTGTCGGTTCTGCCGAGGATCTGAGCAGCGCAGGGCCATCCAGTGTGGCAACCTTGATGCGCAGACTAATTTCTAGCTGAGGAACATAGGTGATTTCTTTTATTTCGATGAGCTTTCGTTTTTGTCTATTAAAATGAGGTTAATAATGGCACCTAACTCATAGGATTGTGGGAAGAGTAAAGGAGCTACAAGGCATGACAAGTCCCCAGCCTGGCTTCGTCATTACTTATTTAATGCAGAGGTGAATGTTTAGAGAAATGACAAGCGAGATAGACCACTGGCTTAAAAGAGGCCCCACTGAATTCCTGTTCCTGCCAGTGAACCTGCACCTCCATTTCCCCATTCTGCTTCCCGGTGCACAGACTGCCATGGTGCATTCTTTCAAAGGCCATCTCAGGTCAGAGGGAAAACCTTGGTGTGATGCTGTTGGATCCCTACTGGGGACTCAGTAGCCCCATGGTTGTAATGTTTAAGTGCCCTCAGAATCCAGGGCTAACTCCCGGGCTTGAAAATGTATAAGGCAGAGGAGGTTCGGGTTCAAAGGCCTGGGAGTTAGCACGCTGCTTTCTCAGGATTGCCTCCATTACGAGGCTCAGTAGGCTGTACTCAGCAAAAGTTGGCGATGTTTGGATTTAAAGACTTGTCTGTCTGCCCTTAAGGTTAGCGTTTTAAGCCCACTCCCTGGGAGAAAGACTCCCACATAGATTGCAGTTCACAGAACCTATGGACCATTCTACTTGGAATTTGAAAATCAGAGGCACCCCATCTCAGCACTCTGATCTCCAACCCCAGTTCCCTGAGTCCGATCATTCCAACCAGTTATTTGACTTCACAGTCCCCAGCCACCTCTCATTACAGATGAGGCCTTCAAGGCTACTCCTGACCCCCAAATGCTGAGCTGTCACAGTGACGGACCTTTGAGAAGCCAAACCCCTAATTTCCCCTTAAGTTGAGTTAACATGACAAGACTTATCCCCAAGAGGCTACTTGAAAGATGTCAGGAGAGCCCAGAGGTCAGCGCTCTGGAGGTCCTGGCTGCAGGGTCAGACAGCAGTGCGTGCCACATGCATTGTAGGAGTGCTTGGAGGTTGAAAGGGGAGGGTTAAGTTGGTGCTTGAAAGCCCAGGCCATCCAACAGGATCCATAGTCCTAAAAGCCCTTAAGTGCAGGCAGTATATTTGCCTGATGGGGCCAGAAAATTGAAAGCCAGCTTTTGTTTAAATGACCACTTGTATCTTTCAAAACTTAAGTGCCTGGGAGGGAAGGCCAGAGCCCACGGATTGCTGTTTTGACCTTTGAGAATGTGAAAGTGTGGATTCCCAGCCAACAATCAGAGATCGAAGCCTTCCACAGCCTTCCACCTGCATCGGGACTGTAGTTTGGAATTTCGAATTCCCACTGCCTTTACTCCTGGTCAGGAGTGCTGGAGGCATACTGGGTTATCCATTGGGCTGCTGGCCACGAGGTCAGCAGTTTGAAACCACAAGAGAAGATAAGTCCATTCCTGTAAAGAGTTAAAGCCTTGACAACCCACAGAGGCAGTTCTGCCCTATGGGAGCTCTATGAGTTGGAATTGACGACCGACAGTGGGTTTTGGTTTTGACTCGTAGAAGTTCCATTAATGGCAATTCCAGAGAGGGGGTGGGTTTTGTGAACTGTGCTTTCCTATTTGTTGTTCTAGATAAAGACAGGCTTCTAGCCTCCTAGGTGAGGCGTGTGCATGCACATACACACGCCTGCATTTCCTTATACATCTGTGCATGTACAGTATATATGAAGGGGCTTTAAAAAGTCCATACATGTACATGTGGATGTGTCTGTACTGTGCAGTGATGGAAAAACACAGTTCTTTCTGTGGGTCCAGGCAGAAAGGGTTGGAAAAACACTACTGTAGATGATGGCCTACCAGTTTCAGCCAGAGCACCAAATACTTAGAATGGGTCCAGAGGCCCACACGTTCTTGAGTATTAATAGAATCTAGCTCTCTTCTCCCCAGAGCTACATGTAGCAAAGAAGCAAGCAGGGTTCAGTAGGGCCTGTGGTCAGCATAGAGATGCAGGTATAAATGAAGTCACCCTGAATCACGGGGTGCACACTCATGGCCATGGAGTCCAGGTGGACTCATAGCGACCTTATAGGACAGGGTACAACTGCTCCATGGGTTCCTGAGACTGTAACTCTTTATGGGAGTAACAAGGCCCCTCTCTTCGCTGAGTCTTTCAAATAAAGCCAACTTGGACACAGCTGGTGGAAATGTGGTCATGGGCCCCTGCCTGTCCTGGAAGCAAGGTCACTCACTGCTGGGCCTTGTGATGGGGCAGGGGAAACACGTAGTCCTGACCTGAACCAACGGCCTGACCTATCCTCCACCTTTTCCCCAGGCATCCCTCCGTCCACGAATACTACGATCCCAGTGACTACATTGGAGGCATCCCTCAGGAGATGGACAGGGAGGAGCTGGAGCTGGAGGTACGTGGAACATCCTTGTCCCCCTGCTGGGTTCCGAGCTGCTTGCCGGCTTCTCCAGACACATCACCACAGTGCGTGTGGAGGCGTAACTTCCAGTCGTGCCATGGAAAGCATTCAAGGGCCTCCCTGTTCAAAAAGCTTAAAGGTCTAAAAAGAAGTGGTGTCGTTTTTTGTTTTTTTGTTTTTTCAGTTAAACTGCTTAAAAGATAGGAGAGCAAATCCTTATTCTTCAGGCCACACTCCCAAATTCATGCCCTCTCACTTAAATGCCAGCTGCCCCACCTTGGGACCCTTTGAGTCATCATTTATCTTTACCCAAAGGTACTCAGGTGCAAAGAGAATACATAACTAACCTGAATAACAGCCCCAGTGCAAAAAGTCCTGGTGGCGCAATGATTAAGCGCTTAGATGACAGCTGCTAAAGCCCTACTTTCTGGGGTCACCGTGAATCAAAGTCAACTGGATGCCACTGCACAGTCACAGTGCAGAGGGACTGCCCACGGCTCGCCTCTCCTAACTCAGTCTTTGAGGGAAGGACCCCAGCCCTCACTGCCCTTTCGTGCTGATACCAAGCACAACTTGGGACTTGAGATGCTATGTCATGTGGAATCGCATTATGAGTAAGATTTTAAATATTTAGGCAGTACCAGATCACAGAGTTCTCATTCTCATTTTCCATGTGTTTTAAAACTGCTATGTGGGTCAGGTCACAATAGGGTGCCCACTGGAAGATCAGGCCCTTGGACACCGTCAAGAGGGCAGGTAGGGACCATCCAATAGCACGCTGTCCAATTTCTTGGGCTACACCACAGACACTAGTGCACTTGATGGTCTTGTTTGTGGCGGCACTAGCAAACCCATAGCAGAGAAGGAGCTGTTCTCCTCGAGAATGCCCTTAAAGCAGGCGGGCGAGGGGCATTTTCCTGCCAAGGGCCATTTGGATACAACATCAGATATTTACAACGGGTCCGACTGTATTTGATGAACCCATCCCTAATGTGGTGGCTGGAACCACTTCTCTGGTGAGGCGTGTGATGCTAGTTGCTGTTGATGATCTTATGGGCCTTATACAACCCACGGGCTGGACGGTCCCCACCTCAGCCTTAAAGTTAAGGAATGTTCTTATCCAAAGCTGACGACTAAGATGAATCAAAGTGTGCCAACGCCAACTTAACTGGCGTCTTGCCTCCAGATGGATGTGGTCAAATTGAAGTGTTTGTCCCTGGGAGCATGAGTGAGTCAATGGCGACATTTTTTTTTTTCTAATTTAAAAGTGTCCCTCTATGCGTAGTCTAAACTGCTAAATTGGAATGACAATTATTTTAACTATAAAACTGATGACTGTTTCTGCTTGCTATCAGCAGCATACTAATGCCATCCTACAGCTGCTCAAGGAAGCAGTGCCTGCTCCCCTTCAGGAGAATAAGGCATCAGACCCTTATTTATAGTGTCCCAGCCTCCCACCGAGGGAGCCCTAGGTCAGCAGTTCAAACCAATTGGCTACTCGGCAGGAAATAGATACAGCTTTCTGCTCTACTCAAGGAGACAGGTCTATCTGGTCCTGAAGGGTTGATAAGAGTGGGAACTGACTGGATGGCAGTGGGTTTGGTTTGGGGGACTCCTTCCAGCTTTAAGTCCAGTTCACAGGGGAGGGTCTCCAGTAGGCAGAACTTCCCAAAGCCACATATGTGCCCTGAACCCAAGTACACACTTCTTCCATATGTCCATAGGGGGCATATATCTCTCTCTCTCTCTCTGGAGCAAGGCTTACCAAGCAGCATACATATATCCTGTGGTCTCTGTATCCAGTGAAGCTTGACTTGATAGAAGTTGGCCTTTTAAAAGTTCTTTGATTTTTCTCATTTAAAAGTCTGTTGAAAGTCACATCCTCCCTCTGGTCATGTGACCATGTGTCCAAGAGCTTGCACAGTGAGCTTCCGCAAGCTCAGGCTCTATTATTTGCTGTTTTCCTTCCCCACAACTCAATTTGTTGAAGCGACAGTAAGTGTATCTACCAGGAAATGGTAACACAGCCATACCCAGAAAAGCATCTATCAATTCCCATGAATAGAGACCAGTTACCATTGAGTCAATTGTAGCTCATAGCAGCCCTGAGGACACAGTAGAACTGCCCCTGTGGTTTTCTGAGACTGTAACTCTTTCAAAGAATTGATACCCTCATCTTTCTCCTGAGGAGCAACTGGTGACTTCAAACTGCTAACCTTGTAGTTAACCCAATGAGAAACCCGCTATGCTACCAGCCAAAAGCTTTAATCATTTGCACAATCCAGGCATTCCCCTTTGGTTAAAACCTCCACATAAAAAGAAATGCTGGCCCTGTTATTAAATTCCAGTCCTCAATGCTGATGCTATACACAGGTCTCAGAATCTGGGGGCCCTCTCTCTACCACCTCCTTGACTCTGCCCATCTTTGTCTAAGGAGGTGAGGGAGTATGGTGGAATTCTTCAGGCCAGTCTTTCCACGAAACCATTCCCTAGAACCTGGCTAGGCAAGGTGTGGGGTGAGGAGAAGCAGCAGCATCTGGGGGCTTGAGGGAACTGCCCCGCTGCCCACCCCACCCCAGATGCGCATCTGCATTATTTTAGCAAGATTGCCAGACACCTGTGTGCACATTATCGCTAGAGAAGCCCTATCCCAGAGGCCGTTGGCACAGGTAAAAACTCCATGTTGCATTTCCTCTCCCGAGTCACAGCAGCCAGCCTGTGGTCATGGGATTCACTCACCACCACCCCCCACACGCAGTGACCGCCTCACAGGCAACATGTGCCTAAGCCCACTGCACAGGAAGGCACCACTGCCTCAGACATGAGTGTGCTCCTGGAGATGGTGAGAAGCAGGGGTCCTTCCTTCTCTTCCATGCAAGCGTCTATGAGTCTGAGCTGGCCCCACCCCACCAAACACCAATGTGTGATGCTTTGCTGACTGATTTGCATCTAGGTTCCTAGTATCCAGGTGTTTAGAACTTTAGTTGAATGTTTAAAGTTAGGCCTGTGAGGTTATGAGGCTTCTCACTCACGCTTACTGTCATTCTGTTCATCAGCTTTCACTGGCCATTGGCTCCAGTAAGGATCCTACTGGCATGCAAAAGCAGGCTGGCACCTTCCTCCCTGCCCTTAAGGAGCTTATGTTCTAGGAGATGGCAGAAACCGTTGGGACCAGTACGAGCTTTTCAACCTTTAGAAAACCAAACCATGTGATTATCACTCTCTGAGCCCTCCGGCCAGTCACGGGGCAGCACTGTAAGCCGTGCAGGCCAGTCCCCAGGTGGCTCCAACAGACAAGCTTGCCCACGAAACTGGAGGTTCAAAACCACCAGGAGACACCTTGGAAGATAGGCCTGATGATCCATTTGCAAAACCTCAGCCACTGGAAAACCTGTGGAGCGCAATTTTACACTGACACACCTGGTGCCACTACACCAACCGGCACTGCATTGGCTTAGCTGGCACCAGGCAATTTCAGTTCATCAAGGGACCCCTGTGATTCTAGAGGAGTGGGCCCTCTGAGCCGGCCCTGGGAATGCCCCTGAGAGCATCTCCTGAGGCCACTCACCAGAGAGTGACTCCGCAGTAGCACTGCTTCTATGTCTCCTCAGCTGGGGTAATGTGATTAGCATTACCCATCCCCCTCCCCCCGGCCACACACACACACTCACACACACACTGAGAAGGAAGTCTCCTTTAGCAGACCCAGGGTTTGGGGGAAGCTGGCAAATACCTATCATTTCCCCACCATGGCTTTTCTCATACCAGTCACTGTCTGGGCTCTGGGGTCAACCTGCTTTTGTTCCCAAATGTTGGGTTAGATTTCAGAAGGAGCCAGGGGGCCCATTCTCCACACTGCTGATCATCTCAGCTGAATTAGATCAAAGTCAGCACCTTTCAAAGAATAATCAGTTCCACAGATATTATATAGGAGGAAAATATGTATGAGTGGGTTGGGATGTTATTGAAGCAAACGCACAGAAAAAAACAGATGTTCTCCCTTATAAAGTACACAAAATGATCATATTTAGATAATGTCAAATCCCTGTTATTGTGAAACTGCTTAGAGTTAAAGGGATTATGCCCAAGTATACCCAAGGGATGAGCAGCCAAATAATTACCCATAAATTTTCAGGTACTGAACACCTGCTCTAGATCTTCCCGCAGTCAATTAAAGAGAAAAGAGATGTCTGAAGAAGGCTTTTTCCTTAATCTATTGTTTTAATTTCCCAGGTGATTCAGCAGCAGCCTCCTTACCAGGCTGGAAAGCTGCTGTCACCTGGATTGGGTTCTGATGATGTCATTCTGAGGCAGTTTCAACAGGGGAGTGAAAATTGTCTGGAAGCCTGGCTCCATAGAGTAACCTAAGTAGATCACAAGAGAGTTGCCTCTGAGAGATGCAGCCTGCCCCAGCCAGCCGTCTAGTTTTTGTGACAGGCTGCCTCGCTAGAGCTGGCCCCCTCAGGACCTTCAGGACCTGGGGCCATCTCTGCTTTCTCTGCACTGCCCCTTAGTGAGCCTGGGCAGCACTTTTCCCAGATCATATCTGGATCAGGCTTTTGCCCAAACATCTTCTCCCCAAGGAACCCTGTCCCCAACAGTGTTGTTACTTACCCAGTGTCTCCCGCCCCTCACCCCGCTAGAGAGGGAGCAAGCTCCACAAACCCTAGGCTCACCTCTCGCTCAACCATCCCAGGGCCTAGACAGTGCTGCTGTGAGGTAGCTGCTGGCCAATTGGGCCCCCATCATGGTGACCTCGGGCACCAGGGGCAAAAGGCTGCCTAGTCCTGTGACACCTTCACGCACTATTGTGGGTCTGACCATTGTGGGCCATCTACTGGGTTTAACCGTCTGATTTCCAGGCCTTGCTTCTGTGTCTTAGCCTGTAAGCTCCCGTAGGCCTCCAGTGCAAGCAGGCGGTACCTGTACATGGGGTGACTTGGCCGGGATTGCCACCCGGGATAATTCTGTCACTGAACCCCCGGGCAGCTCTG